CATTAAAAAGGGTGCCACATTATCTAACAAGTAAAGGGGCTTCATTGTTACAACAACCCAGCGCAATTAAAGACCCCTTACATGAGTATCGCCCCGATTTTTGCCGGAGGGAGAGTCACGTATTCTAGCAGAGGTACTTGAAGGTCCGTTGTGGATAAGTATATCTGTACCATTCCTAGTTGTGATCCAAGGTCGGGTCTTCATCAATCTACTCAAACACCCAGCCCAAAATCACCCGTGTGCCCCAACGCATCTTACAACCCATGAACCTCAAAATAGGAGGCTTACATGCTAAGCCCCATACAACCCCAATAGTACCCCTATATAACCCTATACCTTTCAGTAGTTTCCAGTTCCTTTTCCATTATCCCTTTATACCCCCAATCCCTAAACCCTAAACCCTGAGCCCCAATCCCTAAACCCCAATATTAACGCCTCCGCAGGGGCCGTGATCGGAGGCAGATACACAGGCTCGCCGATGGTGGTGGGGGCCGGCATCTAAGTAGCGTTTTTTTGGTGGTTGAACCTAGTTATATAATGATAATGGAAAGAATGGATACCACTATATCATAATAGGGTATATATTGGGTTTATATTGGGGGTTGTATTAAGTAATGCTTTTTTTGGTGGTTGAACCTAGTAAGATTATATTCCTCATATGAAATACTATACCCAAAAGGAGGATATAATCTTACTCTATATTGGGTACCATAGTATCCCCCATAAAATACTACTCATCTGGGTTCAAAACCGAAGTGGTTGCTGTTGGGATTCCCTGTAAAACCTAAACTTACTTGGGGTTAGAAGAGAATATAAAGGAATATAATCACTGTAACACCCCTATATAAGTCCCGTATTCCCTACTAAGCCCCAGTAAGTTTAAGGGCTCATGATTCAAGTATCCAGTACGTACCCATACTACAACTACTACCCAAACCCAAAATACCCGATTATTGGGTACCTGAACTCCTACAAGAAGAGCTTCTGGGTTCGCAGTTTAGAGGGTTTAGGGTTCAGGGTTTAGGGACTTGAAGGTTTTTGAAAATTAGAACTCCTTTTTGGGGGAGTCCTGATTCAAATGAGGACCATGGTATGTTGGGGTCCGTATCGGGGCGCCTATTTATGGAACTTCGCATTTGCGTTCTAGTTACCCTAAATCCTGAACCCTAAACCCTGAAAACTAAAGAGTGTGCTCCACCCAGAGATCTGAGTATTGTTTTCCTTGGCTGAACCCAAAAATGTGGTCTTGCAGCCCCAAGTGCCCTATAAAGCTTGTACTGGAAAAGAAAATGGAAACTACTATGATGGCGCTTAGGGTTAAGGGTTTAGTTTTGTGTAAGATACCTGTAAACTGCAATTTTATTATGGGTTACAACTACGAGTGAGGAGGTAAAGTTTACTGAAGTTGCCTAAACTGTAGGTAGTTGGGACTACAGGCTTCGCATAAAGAATACAACAACCGAAAGGAGAGCATAGCTGAACTCTAGATTGGGGGCTCCCCGTGGAAAACTACTCATCTGAGATGACACCAAGGGCTTGCCGGAACCATGTTTTTGGAATGCTTGCAGCTTTCTCGGATGAGAGTTCACTGCCATCCCTCGGTAGAAAAAAGGAAAAAACAAAAAACAACAGCAGCCAGTTATGTGATCTGCATGTCCTCATCCGATTCTTTGTCTACGTAGGCAAACCCTTTATCCTAAACTAAACCCTAAATTCCGCCGCGGCCTGCTTAAGGGGAACCCCACGCCCTAAACCCAAACCCTACACACGGAATTAAGGGTTTCCAGCCGCTGTTCAGGCTCCCCATCTGTGGAGAAACCAGCAAAGAGCGACAAGGGCGTCTTCTATGCGGGTCTACGATTTGGGGTTTAGGGGGGAGGTCTTGGGGTCGCTAAAAAATGACTGTTGTGGCTTCACAGGGATTATATAGGTCTAAGGGGTGAATAAGGCGAATTAGAAGAAAACATACATACATATATATATATATATATACCTACACACCTATATGCTATGTATCCCTGGAGAACCATTACCATGAAAACGGCTAGCTCTTCTGCCAGAATCTCCTTCCACTTTTGCTACCATAGCGGAAAGGGGCCTCACATGGACTACTGTCCTTTGAAAAAAGGGGCCTACTTCTGGGCTCAGGGTTTAGGGTTTAGGGGACCCTAAACCCTAAACCCTAAGTCCATTTAGGGGTTTGGGGTTCGGCTCCATGCGAGTTAGTTTGGGGAGGGTACGTCTCGGGGCTTCCTACTCAGAAGCACTACCTCGAGCTAACGTGAATAGCGGGGGGGGAGGGACTGGCTGGTCATCACAATGAACCCACGGTTTAGAGGTTTAGGGGTTTAGGGGTTTAGGGGTTTAGGGTTTAGGGTTTAGGGCTTAGGGTAAAAGACCTAAACCCCCAAAGTAGGTAAAATAATGGCCGAAATCCCCTAAATATAGCCCAAAAGGCCATGGGGGTCCAGGTATTCTTAAAAGCATATAAAAACGGCCCGAAGGAAAGCCCAAAATGCCCTCGTAATTCCCAGATATCCGTAGTGTCCATGAGAAGGGGTACTCCTGTTTGATAAGCCCCCACATGTCAAAGGATTCCTCAAACAGCATCAGAACTGCGCAATGAAAAAGGGCGCCTGAACATAATCCTGTAGATTTGAAACATCTCTCGAATCCTAGTGGTATGCTCCGTTCTTGGCCCACCCAGACGTTTCTAGAGCTACCAAAGAAATCTGACTCTTTAAGCCCCGAACCTCTACTATCAAAACCTCAAACCCGCAACCCCCCGCAAGCAACAAATGCCTAATTCCACTACATGCCTCAGCACTGACGTCACTAAGCACCTGGACCTGAAGCCATGGACCCAAACAAAAACCAAATCTGTAAGCCCTCAATCTCAAACCCTAAACCACAGTCCCTGTACCTCCATCCCTGGAGCCCAAACAGCAATCCTAAAACTCTACCCTCTCCCAAACAGGCACGGACGCTGATATGATCCCCATGAACCCCTTCCAAGGGAGAGTTAATCTTGGTAAGCCACTTTTTGAGCTGGGCGTAAACTACTGAAGGGGAACTGGGAGCCCCACGGCCGGTGCTGCGAAGATTGCACCCTGTGGTGGCTGAGCCGGCGCTGCCTGACACACGGGCTTTAATGTTTACCTGCAACCCAAAATAACTACGCTTTAGTAGCAATTACCCCTACTAGTAGGTTCAACCCATGAACCTACAGGGAACTTGGGTTACAGGTAGGGTCTTAACAGAGTTCTTAATCTTGAATTACGCTTAGTGCGGGGGGCTTAGATGCGCGAAGCTTGGCCGAATTAATTCGAAACCCACTGATTCGTTAGGGGGTGCCTTAATTGTGCGAAGTTGCGTGGCCGAATTCTTTTTGGTGGCGGGCCTATATGGATTTAACACTAAAGCCCTTCTACCTGAGCTACCGGAAACCCGTTCTATTGATTCTAATCGAAAACTACGTCCCAAAATTGTTTTTGGAGGGTCCGCGCTCACAAAACAGGGCCCAGTTTTCATTCGGATGGCGGGGGTGTGACACTACTCAGGACCGCACATTACTCGTCATTAGTAACAACTAGTAGGGAATGGACACAGAACGTTTTTGGCTTGGAGTGCCAGATAGGATCCCTGTAGTGCTCCCTACTAGCGCACAATCCCTTGAACTGGCCTTTGATTAGCTGGGGATGAAGGAATGCCAAAGAAAATGGAAACTACTATAATGGGTTATAGAGGGACTACTATAAGGATCCATTCCTTCATTCCTAGCTAACCAAAGCCAGATAATAGCCGTTATAACTCCTTACCCAGCCCTTACGTATCAATTGCCTATTAACCAGCAGGAAGGGGGGCGGCAAGACAACGAAGGGATCTACGGGAGTATGAGCTCGATCATGGGGGTCCCTATTCAGGATTCATACAATAAAATTTGGGTAAACTTGGGTGAACCTTAGATAAATGTATAGAGGCTGAGGCTTCAGGGTAGCCCCTAAACCCTAAACCCTAAATAGTAGTTTTCATTTCATCTTCCATTATCCCCAAATAAGCCCTATATTATGGTAACCCAATTTAAGTTCCTAAACCGCGACGGAGGATTGCCAGCCCCAGTAGGATACGTTCGCTCTCAATGGGGCCATTTGCTGACAACTATCTACATCTTGTCAATATCGCTAGGGGGAGTAATGTAGTAATTAGATATTTGAAGCTATAGTAGTCTAGTAATGTAGTAGTATATTGATTACACGCAAAACAGAGAAAATCATCCGCCCTAAGAAAAACACCCTGCCCAAAACTTGGAGGACAGCAGGACTAGCCAAGAGGCAGAATGGGATAGGGACGTCACGTAACATGTTGAGCCTAGGTGCCACGTGTGCTCAGTCGCCAAATGCACCTATGCATCGTGCGGCCCCCATAGTAGATAGAATCTGCGGTATATGGGGATCTTACGATAATATACCCAAAGCCATATTCTCTCTACTTCAGGGGGACTATAGCCAATGGCTGTTGTCACTAACCTTGTCACCTGACTGATCAGCGGTGTGGTCGGCGGATGCGAAGTACAGGTTTATTTTTTTGTGGTGAATGAAATGAAACGCGCAGGCAAAGAGTTGTTGCAAAAATACCTGAGACCATAACATACTTCACTGCAGAGATCCGATGAAGGCCTACGTTATCCGTCTGCTAGATGACATGGCTAGCGTAGACGTGGGGGGGAAGATTGCGCAGGAAGCGTGACCCGAAACTAAATTAGCTACAGCTTCATGCGTTATACCAAGTTATTAGAGGTAACTACAACGAACCTATAGGCAATTGGGATTCAATTGGGCGTACAGGAAGGTCCTAGAAAAGCCGCCCGTGTAAAGGGCTAAACTCGGCCTCTGCGACCGGCGCGGCGAAGATAGCTCCCTGTGGGATGCACAGTGTTGGGGGTCTCCGCTTGTAACCCCGATTACCTACAGCTTATTTTGTAACCCATAAAGGTGTAGGTAATTGGAGTTACCGGCCTTGTCATCGTTCCGCATTCCTGCTGCTACTTTTTCCTCCTCCTTTCTCCTCCTCCTCCTCCGCCTCCTCTTCCTCTAGTACCCAAGGTCCTACTTCTATGACGGCAAAAATGATGATGCTTCTTAGTTCGCAAATGCTCAAACGTGAGCTTTGCAAGATGTTGCAAGGGCTACAAGAATTTGCAGGGACATATTCGGAGTCTGCAGGGATGGAGGCTCCCGAACATCCGACCATTGGGGATCCCTTCTTAGGAAAAGCCGCTATAAGAACTATAGTATACGTTGGCATCATAATTAGGTCCCCCTTTTCCGGAACCTTCAAACCCTAAGCCTAAACCCTAGATCCTGAACCCTAAACCCTAAACCCTATTGGCCTATTGGGACGAGCAAGGTTTTGGGCGTAGACTCTTGATCTTCGACGTCGGATGTTTATCGGATTTCGGGTTGGGATCCTGGATACCCTAAACCCTAAGCCCCCGACCGTACAAAGCCTAAAATCCCTTAACTCTAGAAACCCCAAACCCTAAAAACCTTAAACCCGCGCGAAGAAGATGCCAAAAGGCGCGCCAGCTTGCCTACAGCATTATACCCAGCAAAGGTTGAAGCATTTGACACTTCACGCTGGAGTCGATGCCTTGGATCGTACGGCCAGAGACATTTGGTAATTTCCCTAAATAAGGGACCCCCAATATAGACCCCAAAATACTATAGTCCTTATTATGGGGACCCCCAAAATGGTACCCCTAATTTTGGGAAACCCCCATTTCCAGCCCGCGATCCGTCGTCAGGACCAGGGTCGGCAGCAGCGCAGGCGGCTCAACTTCCTCTAACCCAGAGGGTCCATGTACCCAATAATTAAGTACTTGGGTTTTGGGTAATAGAAATTATAGTATTGGTTTTGGGTAAGTATATGATTATTAGGTACTTGGACCCTTAGGGTAATACTGGCGGCAAAGCAGCACCCAAATCTGCAGGCGATCACACGAGTTAAAGCACGTGATCCAAAGCCAAAGTTGCCTCGGGCGTGGCCAGCTTTGCAGGGTCTGCTTTTCTTCTCTTCAGAGCAGACTCAGCACAAGCTCGCTGGCGTTGTAATTTTGTGAAGCTGCATTCACGAGCTTGACAAGTCAGTGTTTCATATTGCTAAGGGGGGTCTCCTGATTGCATCTAGGACTTGGCATTCAAGGCAGAGGGCTCAGAGTGTAGCTCTGGTAGAAACCCTAAAAATCACTAAAAACCTTAACCCCGCAAATCCCTCACACGCTAAACCGTAAAAACGTTAAAAACAAACACACACACACACACAAACACACAAAACCTTACAGAACCCTAAAAACCTAAACCCCAAACCCTAAAATGCTAAGCGCGGTTGAGGGGTAGCCTCAGTTTTGCAGCTTTGCGGGCTCCTGGGAGAAATGGGGCTGGATTTGGTTTTTAGGGTTTAGGGTTTATCAGATTTAGGTTGGGTCATTCCCCCTCCCAGTAACTGTCCTTAAAGGGGGCCTTCTTAAGGGGCTACTATAATTCGTATTACCCCTTGTGGTAACAGTTACTGTAAAGGGGGAATACCCCAAGATTTAGGATTTAGAGTCAAACTACGCGTGGGGATCCAAAGAGCTCGAGGGCGGCTTCTATTTCCAGACTTCAAAGCCCAAGGTACTGCCCCGTAGTACAGAAGTCAGAAAAGCAATCCCCTTGAATGTCATAGGGGTCTATGGGGTTCCCTAACAGTTTGTGGGAAGGCTCGCCACCTTGACTCACAGCGTTGCCGCAGATTTTCGACAGGCCTCACAAACCCAAAGCCCCGAACCCAAAAGCCTGAACCCAGGTTAAATAGGTTTAGGGCTTAGGGTGCAAAGATTCAGGTAAAAAAGCACAGGCAAAAGCAGAAACCCAGCCAAAAACCGCACAAACCTCGGGACCTGAACCCTCTATAATTTGCAAAAGCCCTAAACCCTATAACCCGTACGTTGAGCCGTAGAACTTCCGGCCCTAAACCCTGAACTAAGTACTTCTTAGTAGGGAATTGTAAAGGAGTATAATCCCTATAGGGTTTAGGGGTTTAGGGTTAGGTAACAGGTTCCCACATCTCCTACTGAGACCTCAGCACGTAAATCCAAATCCTAGACCCTAAACCTTAAACCCTAAACCTTAAACCCTAAACCCTAAACCCTAAACCCTAGACCCTAAACCTTAAACCCTAAACCCTAAATCCTAAACCCTTAGACCTCTCCCCGTGGGAGCAGCCTGGGGTGCGGCGACAGGTGCTGCGAAGATGGCTCCAGGAGGAGGTGCGGAGGTCTCAGGATTCATAGGGTTTAGGGTTTAGGGTTTAGGGATGGTTATCCATATGAGCTATAGTCTAA